TGGGTGGCACTTTTCCCCCCTCTGGATTTGTCATTCTCCTTCATTACATCACCTCCTGCAGAGCAGCTTTAACTGCCACAGTGGGTACACACACTCACTGCAGAGCAAGGGCAGCCATTTCATGCAGCAGGTAGCCATTTTCCACCTTAAAGTGGCCAGGGCTGGTGTTCAGTGACTGCTACTCTGGGTTCACTGGGTATTTGGTAATGTTCCTGGGGGTGGTCTTGGACATGCAGACTGAAATACTGTGATTAAAGAATCAGACCTATGCAATGCCCAAATCAAAACTTCCCCCAGCCTCTCCAGGAACTAGAAAAGGCTGAAGCATTACCCCATATTATTTACCTAGACCGTATTTATCCGAGTAGTCCACCCATTTGCTAACCCAGAAGATGGGAATGCAGGCTGGGTCTTCAGCTTCTTCTGCAAAGAGGAAAGGAGCTTGTTAGAAGACATTTCACAGCATCCTGTGCACCCCAGCAAGCAAGGCTTCTCAACCTTCCAGTTTGATATTGAGGTGTCAGCTGGTCTCCCCACTTCAGACAACAGCATCAGAGTGCCAGAGAAGCAAGTTATCCAGGAAGGCCAGCACCTGTGGGATTGTCCCCAGACTCACCTTGTCTTATTGCCACTCTCTCGGAGGGTTTGGAGGAGTTGACTGCAGTCAGCTGCTGTAGCATGTCAGCTAAGTGACCATCAATAGCATCTCCCAGCTCCCGCAGCCCAGCTACATCTTCCTTTTCGGGCAAGTTCTCTAGTGCAGGACTGTCTGGTCCTGGGCCAGGAAAGAGAAGAGCATGGAGGGGTGACCAGGGAGTAGGTTTCTAAAGGCACCAGATTTACATTCTAGCCTAGCTAGAGCAAACACTTGATACAGCTAAAGCTAGTACTGGCACTTCCTGCCCGCTTTGGTTCTGGGCAAAGAGCAAGGAGTCCTCTCTCTCACTCACAAAACACTCCAGATTTTCATAAGAATTGGGAGAAGAGGTGAGGGAGCGCCATGTTCCCCACTGATGGTTCTGGATGTTGCTGGAGGCCAGGCAGGCTCTCATCCTGGCAGCCTGGCCAGTCTCACCTCTGGACACTTGCACTTACCTTTGTTGAGTGCGGTCAGCGGCTTTCGCCCGTTCAGTTCAAGGACACTGGGAGTAATGGAAAATCTAGGTGCTACGGTGAGACAGCTGGTGGGCAAACGGCTGGGGATGTATCCCGACGTGAAGAACTCGTCATTCAGCAACTCGTCGATTGTTGGGCGTGTGGCAGGGTCAGACCTCAGCATCTTCCGGATGAGGTTAGCAGCTACAGGGTTGATGTGCTAAGAGGAGACAGGCAGAGTCCACAGACAAGGGTCAGGGGATGAAGAACACTAGCAGCAAACACATTGGATACATAAGCCAGGGCAAGTATGGAAAGCTGTCTCCTAACAGCATGCAAAGCATAAAATGCAGAGTCCACAGACAAGGGTCAGGGGATGAGGAACACTAGCAGCAAACACACTGGATACATAAGCCAGGGCAAGTTCTGCTTGGATCAGAACTCCTGTGCTGTGTCTGGCAAGCAGGATGCAGCCAACTGATTTTAGCAAGACCAAATCACCAGCAGCAGGATGAGCCAGGGACCTGGCCCAGACCTCATGGACTTGAGCATGTTCATTAACTCCAACTGCCCAGCTGGGATTTTTGCTGAATTACAGGGAAGTTCACAGCTCCTCGGGAGGAAGCTGGCCCTACAGGTTCACTCCACCATCAACTGAAATATCCCCTTCCCAGCTCTCTGCAATAAAAGCAGTTTCCCCATTATGCAGGAGCTCATGACGTGCCAGAACCAGGACGGTGCAGCAGAAGGCTGACCAGGAGCTGCTGGGAGGTGAATGGGTCCACCTACAAGAAGCACCATACCTTGGGAATGGTATACTCGTTCTTCTTGATTCGGATGTACGTTTCTTTTAGACAAGAAGTTTCAAAAGGCGGTTTCCCCACCAGCAGAGTGTACCTGCGTGTTTACAGAGAAAAGAGTGTCAGTTTTGCATGTGGCAGTTCACAGAAGAGACTTGTGTGCAGAAGTGACCCCATCCTGAGCACACCCTGGGACTTTCCTGGCAGAGGGAACACACTTGGCATCAGACATGCAGTAGCACAAACATCTACATGTACTGTGCCCGGTTCCTGTCCCCTTTTCATGGTTTGAGTGACACAGGATTAATTTCTCTTTCAGTAATTTCACTTTTCAGTAATATCTCTTCTAATGCTTGGGAAAACTTCTAAAAATGAAGACTCTGGTATCTGAATTTGTGAAAATATTTACTTTATAGCCAGCTATGGTATGTGGGTTTCAAGGTCTCAGCGTTTTCAAGCCTACCCCGGTGCAGGGATGAGGAGGAGAGAGACCTGGGCGCTTGGCCCAAACTGGTCAACAGGATCATTTCATATCATGAACGTCACTTTCAATATAAATTAGAAAGTTTGCTGAGAAGTTCTCTCTTCCTTGATGGCTGTGATCCTGGGAACTTCTCACCCCGGTGCCAGACCCCTGAGCCCTTCCCTTCCTCCTGAATCCGCAGCGCTCGCAGTGTCCGACATTTGCTGTCCCCTGCTGGGAGCACACAACTTCCTGCTGATGGAATGGGCTGAGTACAATTCTTATATATTTTATATAAGTAGCGGGATCACTAACGTTTCTTTGGTATTATCAATGTTACTTGGTCTTATTCTATTAAATCTGTTTATATTTAAACCCTCAGGTTTCCTTATTATTCCCCAATTCCTCTGGGTGGGGGAGGGGTCATCAGGTGATAGAATAATTGTCTAAAGGACAATACATTGTTTGGGTTCCTCAAACCTGAAAAGCAAGGCTGGGACCTAGTACCCTCTGGGGGAACTTCCAGTTAGGCAACAGGGGCTTTTTGGGAAACACCTTGAGACAGCCATGCAGACACATAGACCAGTGTATGCAGAGCATGGGGGAGGCTGCAATCTGGCCAGCAGCAGGGCTCAGCCAGGGCAGGTCCTCTGGAGACAGCATGGACAAAGTTTTGGCTCACTCCAAAACCCAGAGGTGCCCCTCTCTGGCCCCACAACCATGCAAGAGACATTTTGACTCACATGATGCAGCCGATGGACCAGATATCCACCTCAAAGCTGTGTCCCTTCTTGCCCAGCACCTCCGGGGCAATGTAGTTGGGGGTCCCACACAGAGTCTTCTTGCGTTCACCATCATACTCCACTTTGGTGGCCAGGCCAAAGTCACCTTAGAGAGACAGGGAGATGGGATATGACCGGAGATACCCTGGACGGCTGGTCCCCAGGGTGGGGGTCCCTGCTGGGGAAGGGGTGGGGTGGGCACTGACGGGGCATTGAGTCACAGGCACCTACCGATCTTCACCTCCATGTCGTCGCTGAGGAAGAGGTTGCCCAGCTTGAGGTCCCGGTGAATGACGCGTTGGCTGTGGAGGTACTGGCAGCCCAGGATGGTCTGGCGCAGGTAGTACCGCACCTCGGGCTCGCTCAGCGCCTTCCGCCGCTTGTGCAGCTCCAGCAGCGACTGTGGGGAAACGGTCAGTACCGGGCGACACCGACACCCTCCATCATCACCACCACCCTCCCCCCCGCCATCCCAACCATTTCCAGCCCTCCCCAGCCCCTCACCCTGCGGCGGCAGAGCTCCAGCACGACGTAGACGAAATCGGCGTCCTCAAAGAAGCCCTGGAAGCCGACGACGTGGCGGTGGGACAGGCTGCGGTGGATGGCGATCTCCATGGACATCTTCTCCTTCTGCTGGGGCTTCACCAGCAGCGATTTGGGCACCACCTTCCCGGCGAACACCTCCCGGCTCTCCGCCTCCGCCAGCTCGTAGCACCGGGCGAAGCCGCCTTTCCCTAAGAACCGGCCGCGCACGAAGTTGCGCCGGGTCCGGGGATCCACCAGCACCTTCGGTACCTCCTTCCCGCCGGAGGCAGCCGCCGCCGCCGCCGTTGCCGAACCGCCCGCTCGGACGGGCTCTACTCGGGCCGCCGGTCTGGCCGCCTTCCCGCCTACCGCGTTCATGCTGGAAGCCGGGTGCCGCCGCGGGTGCTGGAGGAGCGGAGCGGAGGAGGGGAGCGGGTCTCTCTAGGCCGCGGCCGGTGAGGAGAGAGGCGGCGGCAGGAGCGGGGCAGGCGCTGCCCGATTCAAACGCGGCCCCGGAGTCCAGCCCTGCCGCCGCTCCAGTGGTTTGCCCACCGGGCACCGAGGGGTTTGTGAAGGGAAACTCGCCTTGAGGCGTCTCCCCGACGTGGGTTTTTTTTTTCGTGGAAAAAAACTGGCACTGGGCAGTTCGTTTCCCTGCAGGTTTTTGTGGCAATTTTCCAAACCCAGACACGGCTCGTTTATAGATTTCCCCATTTCCCCGGATTTTTTTATTGTGTGGGATCCCACCCGCTCCCGGTGGCACCTTCAGCCTCTCTGTCACTCCAGGTGACATCCTGGCGTTGAGCGTAGCTGTACCCGACCTCGTTAAGGAGTTTTTCACTCTCCCCATGGAGACGCTCCCACCCCTCAACCTGCTCTTCCTGGTGCAGAACAAAATGCCAATTTAAAAAAAAAAATAAAATCACCAAAACCGGCACAAAACCCACCCACAGGACCTCGGTCTATTAAATCTGTTTATATTTAAACCCTCAGGTTTCCTTATTATTCCCCAATTCCTCTGGGTGGGGGAGGGGTCATCAGGTGATAGAATAATTGTCTAAAGGACAATACATTGTTTGGGTTCCTCAAACCTGAAAAGCAAGGCTGGGACCTAGTACCCTCTGGGGGAACTTCCAGTTAGGCAACAGGGGCTTTTTGGGAAACACCTTGAGACAGCCATGCAGACACATAGACCAGTGTATGCAGAGCATGGGGGAGGCTGCAATCTGGCCAGCAGCAGGGCTCAGCCAGGGCAGGTCCTCTGGAGACAGCATGGACAAAGTTTTGGCTCACTCCAAAACCCAGAGGTGCCCCTCTCTGGCCCCACAACCATGCAAGAGACATTTTGACTCACATGATGCAGCCGATGGACCAGATATCCACCTCAAAGCTGTGTCCCTTCTTGCCCAGCACCTCCGGGGCAATGTAGTTGGGGGTCCCACACAGAGTCTTCTTGCGTTCACCATCATACTCCACTTTGGTGGCCAGGCCAAAGTCACCTTAGAGAGACAGGGAGATGGGATATGACCGGAGATACCCTGGACGGCTGGTCCCCAGGGTGGGGGTCCCTGCTGGGGAAGGGGTGGGGTGGGCACTGACGGGGCATTGAGTCACAGGCACCTACCGATCTTCACCTCCATGTCGTCGCTGAGGAAGAGGTTGCCCAGCTTGAGGTCCCGGTGAATGACGCGTTGGCTGTGGAGGTACTGGCAGCCCAGGATGGTCTGGCGCAGGTAGTACCGCACCTCGGGCTCGCTCAGCGCCTTCCGCCGCTTGTGCAGCTCCAGCAGCGACTGTGGGGAAACGGTCAGTACCGGGCGACACCGACACCCTCCATCATCACCACCACCCTCCCCCCCGCCATCCCAACCATTTCCAGCCCTCCCCAGCCCCTCACCCTGCGGCGGCAGAGCTCCAGCACGACGTAGACGAAATCGGCGTCCTCAAAGAAGCCCTGGAAGCCGACGACGTGGCGGTGGGACAGGCTGCGGTGGATGGCGATCTCCATGGACATCTTCTCCTTCTGCTGGGGCTTCACCAGCAGCGATTTGGGCACCACCTTCCCGGCGAACACCTCCCGGCTCTCCGCCTCCGCCAGCTCGTAGCACCGGGCGAAGCCGCCTTTCCCTAAGAACCGGCCGCGCACGAAGTTGCGCCGGGTCCGCGGATCCACCAGCACCTTCGGTACCTCCTTCCCGCCGGAGGCGGCCGCCGCCGCCGCCGTTGCCGAACCGCCCGCCCGGACGGGCTCTACTCGGGCCGCCGGTCTGGCCGCCTTCCCGCCTACCGCGTTCATGCTGGAAGCCGGGTGCCGCCGCGGGTGCTGGAGGAGCGGAGGTAGAGGAGCGGAGCGGGTCTCTCTAGGCCGCGGCCGGTGAGGAGAGAGGCGGCGGCAGGAGCGGGGCAGGCGCTGCCCGATTCAAACGCGGCCCCGGAGCGTTACGCGCGCGCCGCCGCTCCCCATTGGCCCAGAGGATTTAAAATCCACGCCGCCCGCCGCGGGGCACCATGGGTCCCCCCCCCCCCCCCCCGGCCCTTAAAGAGACAGGAGCGCTAGGAGGGGAAACCGCACCGGCAGCCGTTGGTGGCGGCCACGCGTGGGGTGTCCCGGCACTGCTTCCCCTCACGGGATACGCGGTTCTCCAGCCCTGCCGCCGCTCCAGTGGTTTGCCCACCGGGCACCGAGGGGTTTGTGAAGGGAAACTCGCCTTGAGGCGTCTCCCCGACGTGGGTTTTTTTTTTCGTGGAAAAAAACTGGCACTGGGCAGTTCGTTTCCCTGCAGGTTTTTGTGGCAATTTTCCAAACCCAGACACGGCTCGTTTTTAGATTTCCCCGGATTTTTTTATTGTGTAGGATCCCACCCGCTCCTGCAATTTTCCAAACCCAGACACGGCTCGTTTATAGATTTCCCCATTTCCCCGGATTTTTTTATTGTGTGGGATCCCACCCGCTCCCGGTGGCACCTTCAGCCTCTCTGTCACTCCAGGTGACATCCTGGCGTTGAGCGTAGCTGTACCCGACCTCGTTAAGGAGTTTTTCACTCTCCCCATGGAGACGCTCCCACCCCTCAACCTGCTCTTCCTGGTGCAGAACATGGGAGCTTCTCTGGGCAACCTGTGCCAGTGTCTCACCACCCTCACAGTGAAAATTTTTTTTCCTGTATCTAAATCTACCCTCCTCCAATTTGAAGCCCACAGGACCTCGGCCCACCCTCCTGCTCCTCCCTCCAGGCACGCAGGGTGAGGACAGTGGCTTTACCTCCTACGCTTCCCGTCCCCATCAGTGACAGCTGGTTCTTCAGCCTCAGCTAGCAAAGACTAGATGGTCCCAACCAGCACATTCATAGAATCATAAAATGGAAATGACCTTAAAGATCATCTATTTCCAACCCCCTGCCCTGGGCAGGGCCACCTCCCACCAGACCAGGTTGCCCAAAGCCCCATCCAGCCTGGCCTTGAACCCCTCCAGGGATGGGGCAGCCACAGCTTCTCTGGGAACCTGTTCCAGTGTCTCACCACCCTCACAGTGAAAATCTTTGTTCCTGTATCTAATCTAAATCTACCCTCTTCCAGTTTGAAGCTATTACCCCTCCTATTGTCACTACACGCCCTTGTAAAATTTCCATCGCCAGCTTTCTTGTAGGCCCCCTTTAGGTACTGGAAGGCTGCTATAAGGTCTCCCCGGAGCCTTCTCTTCTCCAGGCTGAACAACCCCATCTCTCTCAGCCTGTCCTCACAGCAGAGGGGCTGATCATCTTCGTGGCCTCCTCTGAACCTGCTCCAACAGGTCCAATTCTGAGGAACCATTGGCACCAGCGCCTCTCGCAGTGGATACGAAGTGGAAGAGTGAAGGGCTCTGCAGCCCCCGCTGTCCCCTGAGGACTCCCCATGCCCTGGCCGGCCAGTTTTGGTCAGAGCAAACTGGGGTAAAGCATATAAGATCAATGAAGCAATACAGCGACTCAGTGTTTGAAGCGATCACTGTTTGTACAAGATTCCTGAAAGAAGGAATTCCCCTCCCTGGGGGGGCATGCTTCCCCCATGCACCTACACCTCCGCTGTGGCCACGCAGCAAAGCCCTCCCTCGGAAGTTCCCTTTTATTGCACTGGGCTAGACTGAATGTTGTCCATCAGAAACTCGGTGGCACCACGCCGCAACCTACTGACGCTCCATCTTCCCCGAGCTGGCAGAGGTGAGGAGGTGAGCCCAGGTCAGAGGGACGCTTCAGAGGACAGGAAGACAAAGTGGCCAAATCTAAGGAATGTTAACAGTGCTGAGTGTTTGAGATCTTCAGTGGAGACTTGGGTTTAGACCCTGGCAGAGGCCACCTTAACAGAGACAATAAAAGAGGTTTTAATTAAGGCAGAAGGGTCGGCTCAAGCCTGCTAGAAGGAAGAGGAAGCCAAGAAACACGTGCAGTGACATGTCCCTCCGTGCAATACAGCTGTGCTGCTCAAGGGATCGTGGACTTTTCCAGCTGCCATCCCATTCCCGCTCTCAAACTGACATCCCTTGATCCAGGGGATCCTTCCCACCCCTCTCCCACGGCAGCAGCCTGGCTTCACGCTGCCCAACCGGCGGCCATTAATCAAGCGATCCCGGTGAAACGTACTATGTGGTGTTGAAACTTTGAAGTGACACCATGGCAACACAGCACACACAGCCCCCTCCCCACCAAATACAGCGCGGTTTTCCACGCTTCCAGAGACAGCTGACAGCAAGTTAACAGGGCATAGAAGTACTAGAGTGGCAGTATAAACTCCTAAACACCTGACTTGCAGGAAATCTTGCAAGAATCCCCAAAACTGTCAGGTCTCGTGATGTGGGAGGCCTCCCATAGCCCCTCACTGCAAATGGTTTCTGCAAGGGCTAGTCAGGTTCTGGACAGCAGGAACCAACCATTTTTGGAAGAAGATGACAATTAGGAAGCTCTCAGCTTCAACACAGAACCTCATGGTCTTGTTCCAGTTGTGCTCCCTGCCATGAGAAGCTGGCTCCAGCTCCTGCTTTTTTTGTAGAGATGCAAAAGGAGTCACGCCATCTGGGATGGCTAGATCCAAAAAGTGGGCCATTTCCAAGTGCTTGAAGCAACACTGTGGGAGCTACTGCTGTACCACATAGGCGTGCCTGATGTTTCAGCGCTGAAGAGAGGGTTTTAGGGTCACCCTGGTGGGTTCTCACTTCAAAGAACAGAAGCAGAGATGTCAGAGCCTTCATAAAACAACAAAGTTGGCATCATTTGGGGGTGAAAGTCATCAGCTCAGAGGCAGGAAGAAGCAGCCATTTCACACTGTACTTCAAGAGTACAAGAGACTGCAGCTCACGTGCACAGGAGAAACCTCACTCTAAAGTTTGAAGAGTCACAACTTTGAGTCACTTGAACAACTGAAGAGGCTTTAATTTATGTACAGTAAAAATACAAGCAAACCAGTCAGTGGTTTTACATTTGATTAACAGCAGTCACTACACACTTTAGTACTTGTACAGCTGTTTGCTATTTAAGGTGTATCAGTACTTTGCACTACACAGAACAGCTGAAGGCTCCAGGGCTGCTGATCTCACAGCCACACACCATGTAACTCATCTGTGTCCTGGCCCCCAGCTGCTACACTACAACACGCAGGAGCCCCGGTTTTAAAAGCTAGAGAAGGACGATGCTAAGCTTTAATATAACACAACCAGAGCAGGCAGATTCATTTTTAGCCAGTTGTCTGGTACTGAGTCAGATACACACAAGTGTCAGCTGTCTCCAGCCTTCACAGAGCTGCTCCCAGCAAGAATTATTCCTGCTCTAATTAATGCGACCAAAAAGAAATGTTCACTCTTTCCAAGAAGTCTGAATCTCCTTCGTAAGTTTTATAATGCAAAAAAGCACCAAAGAGCTTTCTGCAAATACACATAGTAGGTAATAAGTGGGGACAATTGCAGCATTCTCTCACCCACCTCTAGTTTCTGCTTTTAATTACCCACTTTCTACTGCATTTAATTCTGTGAGTGACACAGCAATCCTCTTTCCAAAGCCCTTTGGCTCTTTAAGGTCTGTGATGTTCAGAGAGTAGAACATGCATCAGCCATGACAGCCCTAACCCCGTGTGACAGGTGAGAGCACAGGACTGATGTCTGCTTCAAGAGCTAAAAGCTAGGAAGCGTCCTGTCAGGCAAGGCACTGAAAGACAGGTTTCAATGTCAGCCAGAAGTCCTAAAGCCAATCCCAGGATGATGAATAATATTCTACCTCTATAGGAGAGAATCTTGGTCCATGGAGACATAAGGAAGAGGCCGTCCAACTCAACAAGCAGGCCTACAGAGCAGTAAATATTTTTCCAAAGGAAAACACTGGGTCTAATGAAGCCTGGTAGGTAACTGCCCATAACACACACATCAGCCACACGGTGCTTCTGTTCTAGGATGGAGATCGCTTCTAGTGACCGTAAACCCACTTGCTCTGGGTTAGGAACAGAACTGACATGAAGGACAAGCTTAGGCTGCAGAGTGTGTCCTGTCAACTCTGCCTTGTTCCCCAGCTGCAACAAGGAGATGGGCCCTACAGGGAATTCTATCAGCTTTCCTAGGTCCAAAACAGTTAATGGCACAATTCAGACAACATGGAATGAAATACATTTAAATGAGCATACAAAGTTTAAACAACATGACACAGCAGCTTTCACGAGGGACTGCTTGGCCAGACCATTAGTGTTGAGGAACACTCACGGAAGTGCTCAGGAACAGCAGAGGGCCGTGCCCTGGTATTGCTGAACAATATCCCTCTCCCTGCCCCCAGAATACTCCTGCGTGCCTTTACTGCTCTGAAACATGGTAAATAGGCTACTAGACCTGAGTGAGTGGCAAAAACTTCTGGTAATAGCTCTTTGTAACGTCAATCATGAGTTCCTGGGTACATTCCGGGAGTTCCCCAGAGAAGAGTCCTGGAAGAAGAACAAGAGTATGACCATCAGTGCTCTTGCAGGAGAAAGCAGAAATAAGCTTGTATTCAACCGTAAATAAATACTAATAGAACAGCAAAGGGCTCTTCTCTCATATTGAGCAACACAGTAGGATCGCTCCCATCGTACGCCCCGGGATGAACATCAGCCAGAATGCAGAAGCTGGGTCCCCGACAGCTTTTGCTTTTCCCCATAAAACACTCTCAGAAGATAAATGACAGGGTGTGCAATTTGTACAATGAGGTCTCCAGCACAGCCAGGTCGATGGGCAGGAACTAAACATTCAGTTTAAAACCTCAGTTTAACGTACCTACCTCCCTACTAACATATGGATAACAAGCAAGTGACTTCCTACAGTTTGAACCACTGAAATCAGAGTCCATGGAAGGAGAAAGGCTCCCTGTGGTAGAGCCTAATGCCTGCTGGGTTCTAGACACCCGAAAAGCTGTGCTGCTTGTGGTACAGGATGGCCCCAGCTGCCATCCTAGCAATACCCTACCTACCTAACCTACACTAAAGCAGCAAGTTTCACAAGTTAAAATTGTTACTTTTCAGTTCACCAAGTGCCCTATACCTTTATTTCTAGGCACTAAATGCTAATAGGCAACTTTGTCATAAGTAAAGTCAGAGGGATCATACCTGGGCAGCCCGAGAAGACTGTGAAAGGTGGGACTACTGTTTCAGGAGGTAGTACCGTGTTGTCTAAGATTTTGCAGCAGTCTTTCAAAACACACCTACGACCCTAAAACAGAGATTAGGCAAAGTTTATACTTCAAACGCTATATGCTTTTGTTTATTCCTAGTAAGTTACCTAAACTTCAACAAGTTTAACTGCTCAAAACTCATTCTGCATAAGGGATAATGGGAATAAATCTTTACCCTGACTGAATGCTCCTCCCAACAGAATTCTCTTCTTCCTTTCTTGAGGAAAAAAAGTCTGTTTGCTGTTGACTAACACATGTTCAGGCAGCTGCACATTAGCACATCAATACACAAACTGGAATGTACGACCAGAGCCATGCAGGAACGAAGCAAAGCCTTCTCTAACTCAGCAGACAGCCACCTTGACTATTTTGTGTTGAAACACAATTCCACTTGTGCTTTGTGGAAAGGCCGTCTTTCCTGGACTATAATATTGTTGGGAGGGATTTTCCAAACAGCAGCCAGCTGAACCCACTATCATCAGAACAGCAAAACTGAAAGCACCCTTTTTTTTTGTGGAGAAGGAAGAGGAGAAAGGAACAGCACACAACGAGCATGCTTGCTCCAGCCTCTTGGTGCAGATACCTTTCCTCTGTTGTTAAGAGCCTCAACCACACTCAAAGAGTTTAAAGAAAAGACTAAAAAAATGGCACTTACAATGACACAGTTCTTGCCTATGTGGACATAGGAGCCAATCTGGGCTGCGTTGACAATGCAGTCCTCTTCTATGAAGACATGATCACCAATGTGGAGAGGGAAAAAAGCCACCCTGTGACAGGAGAGTTATTTCTTCAGGTGTACAATACACAGACTGATCTGCAACACTGTTAGACCCAAAATCACATACTAAGGAAGATTAAACAACTGATCTTTTCTCATCTTCTTCTAAAGGATTGCACAAATGAGGAAGAGGAAGATGTTGTGAATAGACAAAGAACAACTGAAACACATTCTTCACTTAGCCATTTAAATATATCCCAGTCCTTCCATATTGTGGTGTGAAGGGAACACTAACACTGAAGGCAAAGGTGAAAATTTGAGGAAAAGGCAGGTTTTCAGGGACATATTTCTGCAAATTACTGCAAAAGGACCACAGCCCTCTGAATACAGATCTCGGCCAAGATGATATATTTTGTTTAAGTTTTTAACTTCAGACTTTAGGTTTAAAGCTTCAGCATGCCTAATGGAAGGGGACCTCTTACCCTTTACTAAACTTCTTGAAGGGTGGTCTAATGACACTGCGGCTTTTCACCACACAGTGTCGGCCAACACGTACGTTTGCCAGGTCCCCGCGGATGATGCAGTCGTTCATAACTATGGTCTGGAGAAGAAAAGAGAGACAAATGAGCTCTGATTTCTGCGTTACCGGTTATTATAGAGACTCATGCATTGGTCAGGCCATTCCAGCAAGATTACGTTACCTTACAAAGGATTATTTTAATCAAAAAAGTGAGAACAAAGTAAATGACACCAGAGCCTGGAACCACTAGTTGTGGCGAGCCGCACGAAGCGAGCCAATAAATGAAGCCAGGTTTAAAGGCAAACACAAACGTGTTGTCGCAGGGATAAAAGCCCCACGACCTTCTCACACGCAGAAGCAGCTCAGTTTCCGTTCTCAGCGAGCAGATCTCCGGTTGCCAGGGGAGCGCAGAGCAGCGGGGGTGCTGCCGCCGTGGTGACAGGGACCCCGCCGCTCGGCCACGCCCCCCGTCCAGCTGCTGGGCCGAACGAGGCACCGGAGCCGGGACACACACACACACCTTAACCCCCTCCCCGCCGCCTACCTTGCCGTTGAGAACGATGTTCTGGCTGCCGCACAGCACGGACTGTCGGCTCACCTTATTGCCGGACGCCTGAGGGGAGAAGGGAGGGGTCACCGCGGCCGCTCGGAGCCCCGGGCCCCGCCGCTGTCGCGACACCCCAGCGCCTCAGCGAGCCCGACTCATCCCCCAAACCCTCAACCGCCCCAACCTCCCCCCCTCGCACCGTCTCGATGTACTCGGACTTGTTGTACAGCATCTCGCTCAGCTCCATGGCTCCGCCGCCACTTCCGCACAGCCACTCGCTTCCGGCGCGTCACTTCCTCCCGCCAGGCGGCGCTTCCGGCGGGGACGCGGCCTATGGCGGCGCGGTTGCCATGGCCACACGCTTCCCGCGGGAGGCGGCCATGGAGGGACCCGAGGAGGCGGCGGCCGGCGAGGGAGCTCTCAGCGGTGCCCAGAAGGAGAAGGTGCGGTGCCCGGGGCGGGACGGAGCGGGGCCCGGCGCGGCAGGCGCGGCGGTGCCAGCCCCAGCCCGGTGCGTTGTGTCTTGCAGCTGAGGGAGAAGCTGGCGCTGCTGAGGAGGGAGTACAGCGAGACCGTCAGCCGGCTGCGGGTGAGCGGGCCGGGCCGGGGCCGGTAGCGGGGCTCGGCCCGGCGGGGCGCGGGAGGAGGTACCGGGAGGCCGGTCCTAGCCCTCCGCCGGTGTTGTGTCCGCAGCGGGCGCGGCGAGCCGAGCGAGCCCGGAGCCACGGCCGGGGGGCGGCGGAGGAAGGCAGCCGGGGGGAGTGGAGCCCCGCAGGTAGGAGCCGACTGGCGACTTCCCGCTTCGGGGACGGGGTGGCAGGGCCCCGGATTGTCCCGCCAACCACCGTGTGCTGCCCGGTGGCCTTGCCCCACCGGTGATGGCGGGGGGGCCCAGCCCAGCCACTGTCACCCTTCTGTGCCCCCGTGGCCTGCCCTGCTGAGCCGGGGATGGACCCCAGCTCTGCTGTCCCCCTCTCTGCAGCTGCTGCCGCATCTGCTGTCCCCCACACCCGGCCTTGCCAGTGCCACTGGGTCACAATCTGCAATAACATCTCTCCTTTTCTCCTCACCAGGTCTGCAGCGCTCTCTGATCCCGACTGTGAGATCCCACTCTTTTTCTCCTAACAAAGTCATCTGGTTTTACCGTGTGATGTTTTTATTGAATGGGACTTTGCTGGAGTACTTTACACATATAAGATTTTTTTCCCCACAGGTTCTAGAGATAATGTATCTCCTAGTGCTGACAAACACGAAACGTCTCAGGTACAGACTAAAACCTGCTCTAATCCTGATGCAGAGAAGAAAACATCTGTCACATTTAAACACGTTCCCGAATTCTCCGATAATGAGGTTAGCTTGCCAGACAGCTCGCAGACAGAAAGTGTATGGGCTAGCCAGGAAAACCTGTGCTCTGGAATCGTTAGGCCTGCTCCTGACGAGAAAAAACCCCAAACCTCCAGATGCTTGATGAAGCTGAGGAGACGGGCAAAGGCTCCAGTATCAAAGGAAAGGGAATCAGTGGACAATGGGCATCCAATCAACACGAATGAAACAGTGAAGAATCAAATTGCCAATACAGAGGAACTTCGGTCACCAGTCTTCAAGCGAAGCAGTGTCTTGAACACTGAGGAACACACTCAAAGAGCATCCAGACCAGCACCTGTAGGGAGAGAAGAAAACAGTTTCACTCCTCCTGGTGCAGCATTAGGGGTTGTACAAGACGTGCTTGAAGACAGTGTCCCTCCAGGAGTGCCTGAGCTGTTCCCGAGTGCCCTGGGGGACAGCAGTGTCTGGCAGCCTGTGTCCCCAGGTGCTGAGGCCACATCTGATAACCATGAGACTGCAGGGCCGTGTTCAGAGAATGGTGACTCTGTTTTGCTTGACATCAGTGGTGATGGAGGAAAAGGATCTTCCAGTATAACAAAACAAACAGACAATGAAAGTATGTGTGAAGATCAGGGAGAGTTACGTAGACTCTTGGATTTCATGTCAGAAAATGAAGTATTGCCTGCTGATGGAAATAACTCTGTAGCTAATGAGAGCAAAAGCTGTGAAGGAAATCAAAGTGACACTAGTAGCTTAAATCTCTTTCCTACAGATCTCGCTCTGGGCAATGTTGAAGAACCGTTGGAGAATCAAAAACCTGAAATTCAGTCAAGACTTTCTGATCCAGAAAAGGTGGCAGCTCCTGAAAGCGCATTGAACTCTTGCACTGTGGTTGAAGGGCTTCTCTTTCCCGTAGAGTACTACGTCAGAACAACTCGACGCATGTCTAATTGCCAGAGGAAAGTGGATCTTGATGCTGTAATTCTCAGCCAGCTGGGCAGAAGCAAGAAAGCTCAGCGAAGTAAGTGTAAGCAGAAAGATGCAAATTCAGATCGGCCCTCCCAAGAAAGAGCTGAAAATGATTTGGAGTCAGAGGTCATACCGTTCCCTTTTCTTGGTGCAGAAAATGATCCAGCAAATTCAAGTAGTCCTCAGAAATCTCTTCCTGCCTCCAGTGGTAGCAGCACGTCACTCGGATCGATTTCTCAAAGCAGTATCACTGGCACAAAGGGAGATCGGAGACGATTGCAGAGGAAACAAAAGGGAAGAAGAAAATCTACCTGCAAACCCTCTGTGCATCAGGTGTCACAGGAACTTATAGAGAGTTTGGATCTCATACCACCAAGAGACAGCAGTAGTCTGCTGTCAAATGAGTGTCAGAGTGAAAAGGGAAACTGTGAGGCTAATCTTGAAAAGTCATCTTCAGAGGAGAGAAGGTTGTCTGCTGCTGCAGCTCTTGGTTCTGGAGAGCCAGAAGTGGCTGGTGCTCTACAGCCAGCGAGCCCTGGTCCTTCTCCCAGAGGAAGCCAAGTGCTTGGCAAATGCCGTAAGACTCTGTTAGAACAGGTTCAAAATCCAGTTCAGAACAAGGATTCTCTGAACCCAGGAAGTGAGACTTTTGGCAGCCATGCAGGAGATCTGGAAGCCAACTCAAGTGCGTGTCAAGCTGATAAACATCCAGTGGAGCATGTTAAGAGTCAGCACGTGCAAGGAGCCTGCGGGGCTGAGCAGCCCCTAGCAATTAATGTCCCTCTGCGCCGCTCCCTGCGCTCCTCGGCAAGACAGAGCACCAGCCAAATCTCAAAAGGTACTTCATCAAATACAGGTACTTCCTAAAACTAGAACCTGAGAACAAGGCAGGGAAACGTCCCAGAAAGTGCATGCACTGCTGTTCGTGCCCTGCCATATTTTATTATTCAAGAAAATCTCATATGGATTAACTTTTTTTTTTTTAAAAGGACACTTTTTTTTTTTTTTAAATAGAGATCATTGTGGTGCTCATGTTTCTTGCATAATTCCAGAAACTTCTTCAGCACAGTGATGGGGAGTAAACAGTTGTGCACAGATGAGGACCAGGGCTGAGAATTTCTTCAGCTGCCTTTGCTGTTAGAGCAAATGTTATGTGCACTGGACCTGATTTTCCAGCAAATGGATATAAATCTGTTTCTCTGACTAAGTCTGCATATTAATGATTTTTTTTTTTTTTAATTTTTTTTTTAGTGCTGACAGTTGTGAAACACAAAGAGCAGTGTTATAGTTTGAGAGTCTGAGAATATTGTAAAAGGAGAACGTGGTGGGAAAAAATCAAACAAAACAAACTGACCAAGCGCTCGGTCGATTCTGGCAGTCTTTGGCAATGATATTTTTGCTGAAGGCTTGATGCAGAGCAATTGAGGAGTGTAATGTTTTTCCAGAAAAGTGCCACTTCCACATGTTAAGATGGATATAGCTTGGTTTTGGTTTTAATAGATTAGAGTGACACTCTGGATGAGAGATTCTGGTTATTTTATGATGTGATGTTCTTGTATTGTGTTTTTCTTTGTCTAGATGAAAGCAAAAGAGGACGTAGCTGCCCAAGGGGTTCAGAGGACCCTGCTTCTTTTGGCCTCCCTGCTCTGGACCCCGACATTTGCAGCTCTCTCTTCTCCTTTCGCAGTCTCCAGTGGCTTGTCCCCAAACTGGGTATCAGAGACTTTCACTTACCAGATGAGGAATTTGGAGTGCTAAAACTTGAGAAATTACAATCTTCCCCTGTGAATGACTTGGAGGTTTTTGTTCCTACTGTGTTTGGAGATGGTGCAGCCTCGGAGAACACACAAGATGTACAAATGAATCCAGAAGAAAAAGGACTCAAAAGTAATTTGATTTCACCTTTCAAAAATGGATCGCCCAAGCTACCTCATGTAGAAAGCCCAACTTCCAAGAAAGAACATTCCACCCATGCACTGTTCTTTACTCCCACGGGGACTGCCTTAGCTGGGGCTCCTACTCAGCCTGAGTCTCCAAATTCCTCATATGTTTTCCCCATTGTGGGTGCAACCCCAGCTGTTTTACCATCAGTGGGCAGTGAGGTCTTCCCCAAGGCACCTTCTGTACCTCCCTCGCAAGCGAGCCTGCATCCCTCCAAAGGAGCATCTGCCCAGGTGGTGGATGATGGGGAGTGCAAAGACTCTGCCGTTCCACTGCACTCTGCTGGAAAAGAGGAGGAACAAAGTACAACGTTTCATTTAGAAACTGAAAGAGTTCCCCATAATAAATCTGATGAGACTGTGACCTTGGAGAAGCATCAGCAACCAGAGAGCAAACAGCAGAGATCCTGCAGGGCTTCTCCTGAACAGGTAACAAGCTGGCCTCTTTGCCAAGGGTACTAAGCCAGTGGTTTTGTGGGTGAACCCCTTTTCCAGAATCTCACCTCACTTCAGGGGAAGGAACTCTTTGTGAGCTAGCCCTGCATGTTGTCATTTAACTGACTTGGTAAATGTTTGGTTTTCATCTGTTGCTTCAGGTCTTTTGACCTCAAGAGCAAATTCTTTAAAATCCTGTTTGATGGAACTGGAGATGTGGGTTTCAGTGCTTATTGCAGGTGTGTATTTGAAACGTGTGTATGAACAAAAAGTTTCTGGTACCCACGTAATGTTGGTCTACCTTAAGGAAAATCTTCAGGATTTGGTAAAGGAGATTAAATGATTCATGTGCAGGATGGATACTGAGAGAATGACTTTACTCTGAAGGCTGAGAGATGCAGAGTGGTGATAAAAGAAAATTTTCAGGTGAAACCAGGAAATAATCCATCTGGGATCTCCTGTTTTTCAAAGACATGCAAATACTAGAAGAGATGCTTCTACCATAGCTGTCCAACAACTGCATGCAGAATGAATTCATGCTTCTGCCTCATTCTTGCAGGTGCTGAATGTAATTTCAAAGTTGAATTATTCTCATTCTTTACTTGTTTGTGCAGAGGAAAGATGAAGCAGAACAGTTGAGTCCAGTACTGCTCGATGGCCTGAGAGAAGAGAGCTTGCAGCTTGTATCAAAGCTAAAGGTGGGATAACATCAGATAACTGTTGATCGACTCAGTAGCAGCTCTTTAACGCTAAGTTTAACAAAAAATGCAATCAAAAATGCAGGATGGCTTGTTGAACAAACTAGATTGCTGTCTAACGTGATCAGTTCCGTGTCACTTGTAGTAAAGCATGCTGAAAGGTTGGATTGCTGTATATCTCCTCCTGACTGATAAAGGATTTCAGTGCTTGTTTCTAAGTAACGAATGTCTAAACATAACAAATGTCTTAACAAACGGAACTGCTGCATTTTTCTTCAGCCCCAGGTAAAATGATCTCAGCCCTTGTACATGCTTCTGGAAGGGAGCCTTGAGTGCACATGCAGTGACCAAGGCAAATATTGCCCAGGACTGTTTGCACAGCTGAGCCGTGGGCTCTTCCTCCTGTAGTGGTGTCTGTCCTTCTGCTGCCCTCTGTCTCACAGCGGGTAGGGAAGGGTTGGCAGGCAAGGAAGCAACATCTGTGGGAAAGCCTGTTGAACTCCGAATGAGCTTGCTGGGGGCTGAGTCACCTCTAGGTTTTCCAAACCAAAGTACAAAGTTTTCCTCAAGAAGCAAGCCTGGGGGGGTTAATGGAACCAGCCAACAATAATATGGCTGAAGCTGAAAACTTTTTTACAAGGGACAAGAGAAAGCCCTTGCTTTGTTCAGCTTTAAACTCAGTCTGTGCTACTGCAAGTCTCCCCTCCTGTTTGTGCAACAAGGGAAGCAAGTGCATGGCAGCAAGTAGGTGGCACTTGGGCTTTGTTGTGGCTGTGCTGTGGTACCCGTAGGGCTGTCCCAGCTCTGGGCTCTGCTGTGTCCCTCTCGTTTCAAATGACAAATGATTTTTATGATGTGAGCCAATATATTTGCTGCTTTAAGGGTAAAACCTACCAGGCTTGTTTTCCTTGGTGCCTTACTGACTCCTTGCTCAAAATTAAACCTTGTGAGCATGAAGTTTTAGCCTTAAATTCTCATCCCACTGAATGTCAAGCATTTTTCTCAGTCTGAACCCCCCAGGTTAGATCAGCATGTCTATCAGAAGAAAAAGAGTGCTGCTTTGTTTTGGGCAGGATTGTTCTGGTTCCTGTGCTGTGGATGTGAGTACCATGTGGTGGGATGCAGCTGGTGGCAGAGAGCTGTGTGTGGTGACAGCCTGTGAGAATTCTGTCTCCTTGTGGAAACCTCTGGCATCTGACCGCTGGGGAAAAGTCTATACTTGGCAGATTGGAAAGGTATGAACACCATCCTTATTTCTAGAATTTAGGGCAACTTTCTCGTCCCAGTGTGTTAGTTCCCAAGATACAAGGAGCTTGTAGTCTTGGGTGCAAGGTAAGTTCTTTAGGTGGCATAAATTTTTCATTCCATCAGGCAACAGAGGAGAATGATTCGCACTGCTGATGGAGAAGGCCAGTAACTTCTATGGTTGCATATTATCTGCTGGAATTTGATACTTCATGTGTCAAATGTATGGTGGCTGCAGCCACTGACTTAGGTTCTTTCCCCTTATGCTCCCTGGAGACGCTTTTTGTCTCTTGTATCAATGGGGATTGTTTAATTAGGTAAACAGTCAGCAGAGTTCAGCTGTTAATCTAAGTGTGCTTCTTCAGAGGGATCTGAAAATCAGTAGTGCTCCATGTCATTTTACCTGAAACGCTCTAGAAAATGGCAATAATGTCAAAGGGACATTGTGGGTGACACTGAATTCTTGATTTGCTGTCCTAGATTCCTGTAATACAGATTGTTCCTCTGCCGGACACCTGTAATCTTGTGTGTGTAGCATTGGGAGATTTGGAGATTGGAGAAATAAGGTGTTGTATTTATTTCTTACTAGCGCTTTGCACCCTGAATAGCTGCAGCTTAACTCTCCTCTTGTGTAGTTGTTGAAATTATCTCTTACTAATGTGTCACTTTCTCAGTTGCTTTAACAGTTGGAAAATATGGAAGGCATTTCTAAAAATCAACTATAAAAACTTGCTTATTCACCCCTCGAGGTGGTAGACTGTTTAAACATATGCCTATTTTTCTACGCTATGGCATGTTTGAATTGTGCTTCCTTCTGTCATTATGTGTACTTTTCTCTTAATTTAGGCTCTTGCTTTATTCCTCTGAGAATGACTCATTCAAGCAGTCACTAGTAAAAACTGGAAATATAAAAGCTGTTCTTGGGCTAAAGGATAGGAGGCTGGTCAGCAGCAGCAGGACTGTGCAAGAGCAGCAAGTGGAAATAGTATCGTTTTCAGAGACAGGAAGGTGAGTCTGCTGGTTTTGGGGTGGTCTCAGTGTGGAAGCAAAGGAAGGAAACATGTCAGATGTAGAAAAGTGTCAGGTTCTTCTCCTCTCTGGAGAACGTGCTGAGAAAACACATACTTACTGTTTTGACTGCCTTTTTTCACTTGCTAATCTGCTGTTCAGGAGCAAGGACGGACAGACTTTGATGCCCCCTGAAGAAACTGTTTTAGCTTTTGCTGAAGTAGAAGGAATGCGAGAGGCCTTGGTGGGCACCACCGCAGTGAACAGCATCGTTGTTTGGTCAGTGTTTCCTTTGCCATCAAATGATTTTGTGTGCAGGTGTAGGTGGGGGCTGTAGCTGCTGGCTGCAGACGTTGTGTAGGGGTATTGGTTGGCTGCTGATTTGCCTATGAAATGATAATTGTCAAAGGGCCTACACTCTGGCACTCTAACTTCTGTACAGTCGGACAGATAGTGAATGAACTATGCTGCTGTAAGCCCACTCACTTTTGCATCATATTCATTACATCTCTTCCTGTGGCCTCTTGGTGTGGTTTATGTGAAACCAAAAATGTGTCTGACTTGCATAGCCATGTAACTGTGATTAGAAAATGGCAGATAGGGGGTGGAAACGCAGTCAGAATTTGTATTTTCACCAACTGCAGGAATTTGAAAACAGGCCAGCTCCTGAAGAAGATGCACGTTGGTTATTCCTACCCAGCTTCCATCTGCCATCGAGCATATTCCGACTCTGTACGTATGGGAAACGTGACACGCGGTGTGTGCACAGACTGCACTGGCTGCTGTGGTGGGGACTTAAAGGATTAGCATTTCTAGAGTGGATTGAAATATCAGCCCTATTTAGATACACTGAAGGAATGTCAAGGGAAAATAGGTTAAGTAGGAGAAATAAGCCTCCCTGACTCCCTTCAATTCTTGGCTTTCTGCAGTGTGCTAATAAAACGAGCGTGATGCATCAAAGTGTATCCCAAAGCAGCAGCATCCTGCGGGTGGGGAGCAGAAGTGCTGGTGCTTGGGAAATCTCTTCCCTTTCACAAGTGGGCAGCTGCCAGCCTGGCCATGGGAAACTGATGGGAAGTGGTTGTTATTTACATACGCCCCCAAGGATATTAACTGTTCAAACCCAAGATTCATACTGACGATTCTTTCCCACTTGCTTCCCCCTGTGCTGTGTTTCCAGATGGATTTTTGTAGTTTATCAAGGATTTGATAGTTCTCAGTGAGCGTTTAACCCTTTGGAAGAAGAATGTTTCATCCCATAATGATGGCTTGAGCCAGACTCGTTGGAGACTTCCTTGGAATATCTATCCCAGCATATTTCGTGCTGGGCTTGTGGCTGTTTCGAGAGCCACTGTTTTCAGCTGTGGTGGTTTGCATTCTTGTTAAATTTTAAGCTCCTGGGGATTAAAAAGAGGCCCAGAAATTTTACTTTAAATATCACCTCATCCTACAGCAAGTTTAGTTTTTTCAGGCAGAAAGATAAGTGCATAAATCCATGGGGTCACTGAGCTGTCATTCTACTGTATTGCATCAGCCCTTATCGGTCAGCAGCTGCTTTGGCTTTTATCTAATTTGATAAGGAAAGTAAACCATTTCTATTTTATTCAGTAAAAACAATGCATCACTGTCCATGGGGCTTTGATTATGGAGAGAATGTAGCAATTAATTTTTGGAAAATTCTTTGGGTGTGGGGTTTTTTTTATTTTATTCCCTCTTGCTGTTGTTTTTAGTGATGTATTTTTCCTCTGTGTACCAGGGCCTTCTGTTTGTTGTTTTAAGCCATCCCCATGCCAAAGAGAGCCAGTCCTGTGGAAACCCCGCCTTCCGCGTGGTAGCGTTCAACCCCAAAACAGCCAGGAGCACGGGGGTGATGTTCTCCTCCCTCCCACCAGGCCATGCTGGAAGGTGAGTACCTCGGGATGGGGGGGGGAGCTCCTCAGGGTGGCTGCAGGGCTCCTTCCAGCTGGGTGGGTTTTTTTTTTTTGGGGGGTGGGCAATCAGTTTAAGGAGCTGAGTGGCGCCACTGGCAGGGATCCATTTGCCATCTCACCCGTGATAAGGAGGCTGGCGTTTGTCCTGTAGGTGGGACAGACGCCCCTGGAATGGGGTGAGGGTGGGGGCTGTTTCCTGCCCGTTTCCTGCGCCAGTCTGTGTGCTGACCCCTGCACTTCTGGCCTCGCCGGGGGGCTCCCCTTGCCCAGGGGGGAGCGGTGATTTTCTGCAGGCCGTACCCTTTGCTTTTCCCCCCCGCCCCCCAAAGTGATTGTGGAAATGCTGCTCACTGGGTTCATCAGGCAACCCCCACCTCCCTCCCTGAGAAAACATCTCATTTTTAATGATCTTAATGAGCCGCTCTGAGCCTTTGTGGTGTTAAAGAGCACTTTGCTGGGTTTATTTGTGTGAGGCAGCTGCTTGCAGTCAGATGACCTTTTCCTTCCCCATGTCTTGCATTTTGAAGACTAAGCTGTTTAAGGCTCATTCTTGCGACGTGCTTACGTAGGACACGCTGTGATGGATGCACACAGATGTTAGGGGGTTGAGATCTGGGCTTGCTGGGCAAATTCCGAGTACGTGCTGAGGCTGGGGAAGGGTTGTCTTGACACCCTTTGTTCTCGGGTGCACTGGAGATACAGCGTGTGACGTAACCTGGCCTCCTACACTGGGCTTAAATTTCCTTATTAATTTTCTATGTGAAAAACTAGCGATTCTGGCCTCGCCGGGGGGCTCCCCTTGCCCACGGGGGAGCAGTGATTTTCTGCAGGCTGTACCCTTTGCTCTTCCCACCCCCCCACACAAAGTGATTGTGGAAATGCTGTTCACTGTGTTCATCAGGCAACCCCCCCCCCCTTCCTCCCTGAGAAAACATCTCATTTTTAATGATTTTAATGAGTCGCTCTGAGCCTTTGTGGTGTTAAAGAGCACTTTGCTGGGTGTATTTGTGTGAGGCAGCTGTTTGCAGTCAGATGACCTTTTCCTTCCCCATGTCTTGCATTTTGAAGACTAAGCTGTTTAAGGCTCATTCTTGCGACGTGCTTACGTAGGACACGCTGTGATGGATGCACACAGATGTTAGGGGGTTGAGATCTGGGCTTGCTGGGCAAATTCCGAGTACGTGCTGAGGCTGGGGAAGGGTTGTCTTGACACCCTTTGTTCTCGGGTGCACTGGAGATACAGCGTGTGACGTAACCTGGCCTCCTACACTGGGCTTAAATTTCCTTATTAATTTTTTATGTGCAAAACTAGCAATTAGGTGGTTGAGTCACCATCCTTGGATGAGTTTAAGAGTTGTTTAGATGTGGTGTTGGGGGGGATATGGTGTAGGGGAGAACTTTGTAGAGTAGGGTAGATGGTTGGACTCGATGATCCCAAGGGTCTTTTCCAACCTAAATGATTCTCTGAGTGTTCAGACAAGCAAACTGCAGCACTGTGACCTTTCTGTGTGTGACCTGTAGGTACCTGGAGGGTGATGTGAAGGATGCTTCAGCCGCCGCCGTGCTGACGTCGGGCGCCATCGCCGTGTGGGACCTGCTGCTGGGGCAGTGCACGGCCCTGCTGGCCCCGGACCCAGAGGGGAGCTGGGCGCTGGCCCGCTGGGCCACCACCAGTGCCTGCCTGCTGGCCGGGCAGCGGGACGGCACCGTCTGCCTCTACCGGTACCAGCAACCCCAGCCCGGAGCGGCCTGACAGGGGACCGGGGCGGGGGGGCTATAACCCCCATCAAGCAGCTTCTTAACCCCCATCTCCTGCAGCTTCTGCCGCCTTAACGGGCGCTGTGTGTGGGGTCGGGATGGGCACCGGGTGTGTGGCGCAATGATTCTCTGAGTGTTCAGACAAGCAAACTGCAGCACTGTGACCTTTCTGTGTGTGACCTGTAGGTACCTGGAGGGTGATGTGAAGGATGCTTCAGCCGCCGCCGTGCTGACGTCGGGCGCCATCGCCGTGTGGGACCTGCTGCTGGGGCAGTGCACGGCCCTGCTGGCCCCGGACCCGGAGGGGAGCTGGGCACTGGCCCGCTGGGCCACCACCAGTGCCTGCCTGCTGGCCGGGCAGCGGGACGGCACCGTCTGCCTCTACCGGTACCAGCAACCCCAGCCCGGAGCGGCCTGACAGGGGACCGGGGCGGGGGGGCTATAACCCCCATCAAGCAGCTTCTTAACCCCCATCTCCTGCAGCTTCTGCCGCCTTAACGGGCGCTGTGTGTGGGGTCGGGATGGGCACCGGGTGTGTGGCGCGGGGGCACCGGGTGTGTGAAACGCCATTAAACCTGTTTGCTTTGGAACTGCTCCCTGACTGCTGCCGTGCTGGGGAGGGACAGGGGGGGTCTGCCCGGGGCTCTGCTCTGCCCGGGGCTCTGCTCTGCCCGGGGCTCTGCTCTGCCTGGGGCTCTGCTCTGCCCGGGTTGGGGGGGTCTGCCCGGGGCTGGCTGTGCCCAGGACTGGGGG